GAGAGAGAGAGAGAGAGAGCAAAACCCCATTGGCCCTTGGCTCCATCTCAGCATTTTCTGTTCATTGTTGGCCACAAAAATAACTCGACTCTTCTCCTTACATGTCAAAATGTCCCTGAAAGGTCTTGGTACAGTGGAATGGCCTTCTCGGCTGACATCTCTGTGTTATCCCCCTGTCAGGTGTGTGTGCAAATTTGTGATATCGGCCTCCCCATTTGGGAATTGGCTTTTTGCAATTGCGCCTACGAAAAGTTGGCAACTACAGGGGCATTCTGCAAAGTTGGATGGTGTCCGGTACGGGTACATCGCAAAGATGGGGTTCAACCGATGTCTGAGGTGTTTGGCAAAATGTTTTTGTCGTCGTCCTTCACCGCAGCGTAGCTGCGGCAGGTCCCCTTGTTTTAATAAAGGTTTTTGATTTTTAACTCGAGTTTGGCTAAGAATTTGAACATGCCTCCCAGGCAAAAGTTGTTTGTATTATTATTTTACATAACCTATTTTAAAACTTTTTTTACAGATTTTTGTGAGATTTATTTTTTGATAAATATATTTATGTTCGTGCTCAGAGGGCTTTGGCCCTCGTTCGCCTTCGGTCGCGAACGTTCGGATTCGGTCGCCAAACGCGAACACACGATGCTACGCAGAGTAATACCACCATACCATTTTCTCTGAAATTGATGATCATTAGATGTCCATGGTACTGGACTCACTTAGCGTTTTAAACAGCCAGTGTTCTTTTTTGAGTGCACGAGGCATTGTTCTTGTTTGTCTTTAAATGAAGTTTTGCAATACAGATGTTTTAGGGTGGGAAGCACAGAGTACACTCATGCGGATTGTTGCAATTTTTTTTTTTTTTTTTTTTTTCCCCTTCCCGTTTTATCCTAGGCTACCAGAGTGGCCTGTGAAAGTAAAAGTAAAAGAAGTATTTCTTAACTTTATTGTTTATTTAAATTATGTTTAATTTTTAATAAACAATAAAGGCTTTTGATGTCAGTTCTGTGATGCAAGTGACATGAGAAGTAATAACTCATCATGAAGTCAGCATACAAGATGCAGAACCAGTACACATATTTTCAGTTTACTTTTTTTTCATAACATAGTTTTTTTTTTTCCTTTTCTTTTTTGGCAGGAACCTTTTCTGGCCCTTGCCTGGTTTTCTTTTCTCTTTTGGCAGGAACCTTCTCTGGCCCTTGCCTGGTCAGGCTGTCCGGGCAACCAAGGTGACCCGGGCGGCCCGCTTGGTAACCCAGCTTTTTTTTTTATTTTAATTTTAAATCTGTGTGTCATCCTTGAAAGATTTGAACTAAGAAAAATGCAAGGAATATGAGTGTGACCTTCTCTGGCCCTTGCCTGGTTTTCTTTTCTTTTTTGGCAGGAACCTTCTTTGGCCCTTGCCTGGTCAGGCTGTCCGGGCAACCAAGGTGACCCGGGCGGCCCGCTTGGTA